GAAAGGCTTCCTCTCACTCCAAAGCAAGATGAACTACTTCTTGTCTCCCTTCCTCAAGACTCACCTGGATCTATGAAGTGATGGAAATCACCCATTATGCCATCCTGCAGGGAGTACTTGACACACCCAATCTCACAGGGCAGGAAGCGCTGTTCACAGTGGGACGGCAGCTTGCCATGGCTGTAAATGTTCAGGAAGTAGAAGATGTCTGCAACCACAGCTGAAAGAAAAGAAAACAAAGATTTCAGAAGAGTCACCAGAGGTTACAGCAAGGCATCCTAGCCTCCCCTCATCCAGTGACAGCTTCAGAGCGCTTTATCGTGTGAATAAGTAGGGTAATGATCAAATAACATATCTGCCTCTGTACCAGAGATGAGCAGTTAACAAATACTTTTGCAAAAGTCAGACATATTGGTCGTCCTGGTACACCTTCCACAGATGCTACTGTGTGTAGAGACCAGGGCAAAAAAAAGCCCAAAATAAACACAAAACGTTCAGAGGCCTGGAATCCAACAGGAACCACTATTCCTTTTCATGATACATCTCTCAACCCTTTAGGTAAACAAGGTTCAGAAAAAAAAAACCCCAAACCAACAACCCAAAACAGTAACTGCAAACCAGCCTCACAAGCCCAATTCAGTAACTCACACAAGCTAAATGAGCTGGTAATAATCTTCTAGGGTAAGAGGAGACGAGAAGTCTGCTAATTAAAAAGATTGCTTCTCCTCTGTTAAATGAGCTCCAGAAGGTGGCAAGAATATCCAAGGCAAATGTTAAGAAATAAATTTATCGGTTACTAATTTTAAAAGTATGCAACTATGAAAAATATTTCACAATACACCTTAACCCTTCTCTTCATGAATGTCACATAACGTTCTCACTAAAGTTTAAGGTAGCTAATTATTTAATCCTTACGCTTAAGTTCTGCCCCTCATCAAAAAAAATCTTACTTGTTCTACTAAATAATAGTCATAAGTGTTTTTACACAGAAGTGATGCTGTATGCCAGACGTGATGGCATTTAACACCAGTCGTCCTAAGCTTGAATGCTGCTGCTCTCTCACACGGGTTTTAAACTCCACAGGCTCTGTGGTCATAGGAAAGATACCTTTCCCACATGAATCTGAATCGCTTTCCTTATGAAAAAGAAGTGGATCTAGCTACAGAAAGCCACACAGGACTTTTACTGAGATATATTAATGGGTAGCATCATAAAATGCCTATCAGTTATCCCTTATTATCCCTCTCATTCACTTTAAAGATCAATTGTGTCAGCTCAAGCCACCTGATCAACCTGATCAAATCTGCATCATATTTGCAGGAGAATTACCTCCAGTGGGGAGGATGCTAACAGCTATTACACTTTTTATGGAGCTACTCTTTCCTGTCCCTCCATAACCATGACTACATGAAAACAGATCAAGAGATTTAAGTAAGAGGCTTGAGCTGAAACTTAACCACACAGCAGATTCAGCCTATATTAACTGGCTGCTTGAATTATCTTGTAAGCACTACCATTTATCATTTTTCAGAATGATGTAATATTCATGGGGAAAAGATTACAGGTGTGTTCATTACTCAGATCTAATCAAAACATCCATTTGAAGACAAGGGACACATGAGAAAGGTTCGGTTTTCAAGAGTTCTTTCAATAAGAAAGGCAAGCCAGGATGTTACAAAGTACTGACAGAGTACATATCCCGTCTTTTGTTCTCCCAAAGAGGCCAGGTCATCAATTTATTTAACACCTACCACACAAATCTTGAACTTTGATATCTAGCAACTCTTCACCCTTTAAAACTGGTACAAGTATTCTTTTACGCTGAACTTGGATTAGGCCCTGTAAATCATAAATGTAGGAGCTGAAGAATTACCTTTTTCTTAAAAACCTTGAAATAACTGTAAAGAAACTGTTAGTGGCTACACTCCCACCAAGCTAAAAAAACAGAGGACAGAATTCTCTCAGGAGGGAAAGGGGAGGGACAGCACACGTTTGCACTCACTTCCCTCTATACTACAAAAGACCTTTTTACAGCACTAGACCATCTTTGGTTAAGATGGTTAAAACCATCTTTTGGTTTTTGGTTTTAAACCATTTTTGGTTTTAAAAAACCAAACAAACAGTTGTCAAAGATGGCTATTAGCACAATGTAAACAGCCTTTGTATAGGTACTATTGAGAATATCTAAAAAGGGCAAGCTTTTATCTACCAGGATCAACTGCTTTAAGATTATTATACCCTGATCATTCTTCCAAGAAATAGCAGAGGCATCTAGAAGAGAAGTAACACTGGGCATCTGTGTGGTCAGACAAGCAGGAACCGGATGAGCCATGTTACACGTCTGGAAAAGATGAGAAAGTTAAAAATAAAAATCAACACAGTCTACTAACCCCCAGTGAAGTCCTTCACCTCCTTCTATAAGGTGAACATATGACCTCCACTAACAATTATGGTTCGGTGGAACAAGTCTGCAGCTTATATAAAAATGCCTGAGTACTTGCAGACCGAGAAGGCAGCATTTCTAAGAAAAAGAGAGATAGGTATCTTAGTATCCTGGTCAACTCAGTACAACAGGAAAGACCTACAGCTGAATCTACAAACCGTAATTTAAAAAAAAAAAGAAAAATTAAAAAAAATTGTTAGGTTCAACCACTTCTCACAGGCAATGGAACTTTTCAAGTTGAAATCTCAAATTTTTTTCCATAGACTTTATGAAAAAGTTTGGTACATGTGTTGGTTGCCTTTGACTAGGAATGGAATTCACAAAGAACCGATAGAGCCTCAAGGAAGTAATCAGATTTACTTGCTCTGTGCCAGAGCAGAGGAGTGTGTATGCCCATTAAGCACTGTAAATCCGTGCATGAATGATAAAGCTTTTAAGAGAACAGGAAACCTGGCAGGCTTACAGAATTCAATCATTCAAGATTCCCAAATTGGGAAAAACATCTACATCCAGGTAAGATAATAATCTGGAATTATCGTAGCCAAAGTCCACTTATAGTAAGTTTGAACTATTTAAAATAAAATGAAGAACCAGTCCCACCCAAGTAAGTTTAGGTCACCTGTGAAAGATGAGACCTTTCC